AGTTTTTGAGAGAACGGAGCATTCAATTTGAATGAACCCAAAAACATTCAATTCGTAATGACGGGGAAAAGGGGTGATTAGTTTTTGGCAAAGGCAGGTCCTGCGGTTTCTGAAATACAGAGCTAAATGTGCAAAAAATAGCAGTTTTTGAAAGAACTAAGCGTCCAATTTGAATGATTCCAAAAAATTTCTGCTTGTTTTAACACAACAATTGAATTTGGAAAAAAAAATTTTTGCTTCAAATTTAATTATTTTTTTTTCCAAAATTTTTTTTTGTATATCGAAAATAATTTAGATTTTTATTTTAATTCTGTTCTAATATACTTTAAATAAATAATTTCAACTTTCCAATTTAGTTTATATAATTCTTATAAATATTCGACAATGTTACAATATTTATGATTTCTATTTTAAAACATTTAATATTCCTCGGTCATTTCGTTACTGTACGGGAAATTCCAGCAATTTGCCTTAAGGCACGATGCCATACACCCTACTAGTTTATTCTTTATTTGGATATAAAACCAACATTTCAGAAAACCGGTTTCAAAATTTTTGCTCGAATATTCTGTAATTCGAGCAATTCATTCGTTTAATGAAAACCGATCTTGTCTGATAAAAAACCGGTTTTCGAATTTCATAATTTTCACCGGAAACCAGTTTTTGAAAACCGACAAACCCTATTCATGATAATATTAACGAGTCCTCTAACTATTTATATGCAAATAATAATTTTTGAAAATCTAATCCGAAATTTATGCCGGTTTTGTGGAATACATTTTCTTGTCCGCGTTTTATAAATTAAGGTCCAAATTAGATTTGTTAATTAATGCTGGACATTTCAGAAAATTTATTAACTTAATATCGTTTGCTGTGTGGCGAATGTACAGCAAGGGAACAATTAACTGAAATTATTACTAGTCGACTCGCACGCACACACTCTCTCAGCCGAGTGGGTTCGGAATAGGTACACGCGGGCAGAGATCATACACAGGCGCTTTGTTATTATTGGTATTTTGCCCGGAGTCAGGTCCATATTGGAAGGAAACCACAATTTGTTTACTTCTCCTACTTAGGCTTCCACAGGCTATCGTCCTGTACCTAGACTTTGAAATTTATTTCCCGAATATGGATCTACTCTACAGTGGTACCTCGACTTACGAGTGTTTCGAGATACGAGCCGACTATAGAGCGATTTGTTGCTTTGACATACGAGCAAAATTCGAGATACAAGCTTTGAGCGTGTAAGAGTTTTCTAGAAGAACATGTTAATGGCAAAATGAAAATATGAAAAATTTCGTCAGCTGTACCAAAGATTTTCCAACCATAGAAATATGTTGACTGTTTTATAATAGTAAATTATTTTATATTTAAAAAAAATAATTATATATTCATATTAATTGTGTAGTAACCACGCGAATATATCAAGGATTATTTTAATGTTTGAAATTTTGTGTACACATTAATAGTGATTCTACAGTTATATATACATTGAGTTCGCGTTTTTTTTTTTGCTTTTTGTACATTTACAAAATATTATTTACTTTTATAACCACGGATCTAAAGAAAAGGGCCATGTCTCTTGAATTAAAGGATGAAATTATTGAGAAATATGAGGATGACGAGGATGTACTATCAAAAATATGTACTGTGTTTAAACAAAAGTAAATTTACCAACAGCTTTCTAGGCTCTAGAAGTTTGAGGATAAAAATCACCCTGAAAAAGTTGTAACAATTTAAGCAAGGGAGTTGTAAAATAAAATATGTCCTACTCATTTTCGCAACATTATGAATATTAATTTTCAATATTAAAAGAACTTAACAAAAACCAAAGTGCTGGAACGAATTCACGGCATTTCAATGTATTTATATGGCAAAAAGTGCTTCGAGATACGAGTGTTTCGACATACGAGCGTGGTTACGGAACGAATTTAACTCGTATGTCGAAGTACCACTGTAGTTCAATTTCTGTCATTCTATTTTACCTTGAAACTCAATTGCCAGTATGGATCTGTACCAGTTTCATTTTCGTATCAAGTAGAGTTCTTTCTTCTCTCCACAGAATTCCTTAATTTCTTACATAGTTAGCATATTTTCCACACGTTTAGGCCCATGTCTCTGGTCAGTCATACTCCAAATATACATATGTATATATACATAATCAAAATTGAAATTGAACACTATTTGCAAATTGCCAATAGATTGTAATGCAATGCATTATAGTCATTCAGTGTAATTTGAATTTCAGTGTAATATTTGAAGTAATAAAAATCGATCTCATCAATAATGAATACATTTCAATGATTTTCAAATATGTATGCAAATTATAGTAATACCGCTGATGCATATGAATTTACAATTACAGGTAATAACATTGTAATATATATATATATATATATATATATATTGTAATTTATACTATTTTTATGTTAGTTTCTCCGAACTCATTGGAGAAAGATTGCAGAAACCTATTATTGTTCCATAAACAAAAGGATGCAAGCCTTTTCTGTGATCCATAAAATAACTAATAAAAATCCGACGTGTCTGCTAATAATCTAATATTTTACGGAATTTATGATATAGAAATGCTTTCACAAAGCTTTCAAAGGACGAAGTAATAAATCGCCACTGAGTGACAGCACTCAGATCCTTTGGTTTTCCTACTTCAAGAGGTAAAAGTGTTACTCCATTACATGTGGGCGTGCCAGGATAAAAGGATACACTATAATATATATATATATATATATATATATATATATATATATATAACACTATCAGAAGATTCAGTGTTTTTACCAGCTTAGTTGAATTTGAAAAATTTAAATCATCATTTCACGTGTTAGGTAATTTAGGTTATGTTATGTTCTGTCGACGTTTCGATTTGTTCTGAATAGTGACACCAAAATTAGGAAAACTATTAAATATAATTGTACAAATATATAAATTACATTCTGGCTCTTGTAAAAGTTTCTTCAAAAAATGGTACGCTTCAAACTTAATTTATGGAATAAGTCTTTATTTTTTTAAATACGTTTTAAATAAAAATAGCCTTTTCCCGACATTGTTGCATCAATTAAAAAACTAGTGGTGTATGGCATCGTGCCTTAAGGCAAATTGGAACTGCCCATACCGTAACGAAATGTTCGAGGAATATTAAATATTTTCAAATAAATCATTATAAATAATATAACATTTCCTAATATTTATTTATAAGTATTATATAAACTGAATTACAAAGTTAGTCAGAATTAAAATCTGAATTATTATCGATATACAAAAATTTTTTTTCAAAAGCAATTATTTTGTTAAAACAAGCAGAAAGTTCTTTGAATCATTGAAATCGGACGCTTAGTTCCCCGAAAAACTATCATTTTTTGTACATTTAGATCTGTATCTTCGAAATGGCTGGACCTGCCTTCGCTAAAAACTAATCACCTCTTCTCAAAAAATCTCTATTTGTATTTTCTGCACTCTTTGCTCCTTATCTCCGTAACGGCTGGACCTGTATTTCAAAAACTAATCAGAACATCTCCCTATCAATAGGAATCGAATGTTTTTTGAACCATTCAAATTGGTAGATCCGTGCGCCGAGAACGTGGACGAAAAAATGCGGACATACAAAACACACACACACACATCCATTTTTTCTGAGGTATACCAAAATGTTCAGAACCTTCAAAACGTGAAGATATGCAAAAATTTTCATTTTCGATTTTCGGCCCATTACTAGAACTACCCGACAGGAAGTTAAATATAGAATCAGTATTAGAAAAATTTTAGTGATTAAAATCTAACTGATATAATTAGGTCAACCTTTGAGGTACCTTCTGAAAAAGGAAGGATTAAGAAGAAGTTGCTGCACAACAGTTCATAAAAATGTTGAATTCTGATTTCTGCTCCGATAATGAGAAAAAAATCTAAATACATTATGAGATTTGTTCTATAAATATATGACAGTTACCAGAACACCAGTATGTTGTCGAGGGTAGACATAATGTCTTATATATGAGAAGATAGTATTATATTTATACATCAGAAACATTCATATGTGTATTAATCCTTAGCATGTTCTCTAATCGCCCGAGCGCCCACTTATAGGAAATTTCCAAATTGTCGCCCAGAGGTGGTTACAGCCTAAATTTAATATCCTAAAGCATTTCGCCCCCGAAAGGTTGAAGGATCATTAGCACACCCTCGATCTAAAGTTATCGTTGTACAAGTATTATGTATGTCTGGCTTTGATTGGGAGCTGTGAGTCACAAACCGTACATCGTTCGTGTAATTTGTATATATTACGCAAAGGTACACATGCAATAAAGCACTTATCCTGAATATTAGTCATCAGCGGGGAATGAAGGACATCAACTTCTAAGGCAGGGTACACGTGGGATTCAGGATAAAAAATTTAGGTACTTGTTCCTGTATTTAAGTCTAGTGCGAAATGGAACCAATGCACAAAGGGTATGGGCGTGTTTCCATACAAAATTAGCCCCACACTGGTATTTAAATAATTTAGATTTTATTTTCACCCAAAGTTCCACTTACATTTAAATAAATTTTAGAATAACTGAAGAAAAATGTACAGGCTTTCGAATGATGCTAATATAAAAGTAGTCCAAGGAGCCGCACTGGTAGAAAATGGAAAATGAAAAATAATTTTCACCTTTTCACGCACTAACAAATAATTTTTTCACATTATTTGTTATGAACAACATAGACAAGATCAATATAAATAGAATGACGTTAACAGTTTTTTGATATCTCTCATATTTCAGACAAAAAGTGAGTTTGAAAAAAGGGGCCACTTTCACATGTTTTCACTGATATCTCGGCCAAATGATGAGCTACGGATTTGAAATTTGGTATTTCGAATTATCTCGAAAATACCTATAAAATGGCATCAAAATTACTTAAATACCAGGTTGGGGCCAATTCTGTATGGAAACACGCCCAGACCCTTTGCTAGTTGCAGCTATTGAGTGAAAGTAATTGACTAGGTTCTAAGTAAGATTCTTACCAGATTCTAACTTGATGCCTACTTGATTCTCATAAGTTTCAAACTTGCCTCCGACTTCGTTCGAACTTAGTTCAAACTTAAAAATAAATTTTGTACACTTTTAGATTATTAGCAAACACATTAGGTTTTTATTAAATTTTTGTGGTCACAAAAAATAGTTCTAATTAACTTTCCGTGGGGTAAGTTATTGTAATCGTCCAAAAATCAAAAATGAAAATTTTTGCATGTCTTTACGTTTCAGAGGTTTCTGACCATTTTGGCATACCGTCAGAAAAACTGGATGTATATGTATTTGTGTGTATTTGTGGATACACTTTTTCGTCGACGATTTCGGGCGTACTGATCAACCGATTTGAATGATTTAAAAGCAATCAATTTCTATTGATAAGGAAAGTGTTGGTTAGTTTTTGGCAAGGACAGGTCTAGCCGATTCGAAGATACGAATCAAAAAATGCAAAAAATAGAAAATAAGTTTTTGAGAGAGAAGAGCGTCCGATTTGAATTATTCAAAAAACATTCAATTCGTAATGATGAAGGGACGTCGTGATTAATTTTGGCAACGGTCTAGCTATTTCTGAGATATGGAGCTGAAAATGCAAAAATGGCAAATTTTGAGAGAACTATTCGAATGATTCAAAAAACATTTTGCTTTTTTATCACTGACCGAGATATCCAGATCTTGTATATTTTTTGCTTCAACATGGCACGAAACAGAACTAATTCGCAAAAATCTATTATATATAGCTTGCGGGATCAATTGAATTATTTTTTACCAAAAGTTGTAGCACAGTGAAAAAAAACAGCATAAATAAAAACATAATCGTAATCGTCTTAAATAAAAACAGTTCACAAAAATTTGCCATTAGCAGCTCTTGAGCCAAGTCTCAGTATTTTTTTATCAATATTTCTAAAAAATATGAAAGTGCGATATATATTTCTTTTGTCTTAACATAGTGCAGAATACGCACCATAATTCTTGAATTTTTATTAAAAAATTATGTATAAAAATTAGTCGTTGCTAAAAACAAATTTTTCTTAAGGTAGCACGAATAGAATTATATGTATGTATATATGTAGTACGACTATTTTTAACTTCCCACAGGATAAGTTAAAGTAATCGCAAAAAAATCAAAAATGAAAATTTTTGCACATCTTTACGTTTCAGAGGTTTTTGAGCATTTTAGCATACCTTAGAAAATGGATATATGTGTGTATGTATGTGCGTACGTGTGTGTGTGCGGATACAATTTTCGTCGACGATTTCCAGGACACGTTTCAACCGACTTCAATGGTTCAAAAAACATTTGATTTCCATTGATAAGAAGACGTGCTGATTAGTTTTTAATAAAAGCAGGTCTAGCCGTTTCGAAGATACGAGACACAAAGTGCTAAAAACGGTAACTGAGTTCTTCAAAAAGTCTTTTTTTTCAAAAAAGTAAATTTTTGTCAAAAATTTAAAATTTCCCAAAAACCTAATTTTTTCAAAGTAATTTTTTTTCAAAAATTTTAATTTTATTAAATAAATTAATTTTTGGTACGAGAAGTTCGAGCAATTTGCCTTAAGGCGCGATGCCATGCACCACTAGTTTGTCCATACATTATTTTATGATTTTAGTTCTCAGTCAAAAAAAGTCAACAACCTTTAGATTATCTCAAAGGCAAAATCAAAAATCAGAATAGTCTAACAATATTATCCAAGATATTGTTTGCAGATTTCGAGCTACAATCAGATATAACCGTAGCCTAATGAAGTGTTGGCACGGATATGTTGTTTATGTTAGATTATGAGATTATTACATATAGTAGGGAGTTTGCAAACTAAGTTTACCTTATTCAGAATGTATGACAAACAGGGATCCCACAATTAACATTATCAAACGTAGTTTACTTACACATAGAAGGAATTAATATCCCGTGTATAGTTCGAAGTTCATGTTCGTAATTATTAGGATTACTTATTTAGTTAAAACTGCCACATCTGTAATAGAGGACTGTTTCATATCCTGATACTTGATCTATTATATTTTTGAAAAACATGTTGCAGTTTGACACAGCCACCAGTCAGAGAAACTAATCTCTTACATTTTATAACAAAATTTCATTTCCATGAGAGTTCCGTAACCGTCGATTCATTATCTCATCTATAATTTACAGAATTTCTCCTAGAGATTTCTGAAAACTCAATTGCGTCGTCCTCATGGCCCATGTATTTGTACACCATTAAATATTTCAAATGTCAAACCCTCCGTAGAATTCTTTGGTCATCCGAAACCTAAACGGATTAGCTAACTAACAAACCTCAAAACCTTGTTTAGGGATATAGATATATATACCTATACCTATACTGGGTGATATAGATACATCCACGATTTAGGAGAGATCGTGGAGAATTGGTATCTAAAAGGTTAATTTAATGATTTATTTCAATAATCTGAAGTTTTTTTTGTAAGGACTTCTTACGTTTTGAATGAAGTATTCCTTGACTGTTAAATCAATGTCTTACTTTTTGATAAAGTGGCGCCTATTGATCACGTTTAAGGAGAGGGGGGGGTTGACAAAAAATCACTTGGGGGAGGGAGCGGTCTAGTAAAATATCACGTGTATTTATTTTTTACCTGAATTTTCAAAAAAAAACTACAATTTTTTGGTAAATTCGGAAAATATATTCATTTTACGTAACGAAAATATAAGTGATGTTTGGAAGAAGGAGGGAGGGATAATTTTAAATATCACGATGTATCACCAAGGGGAAGGGAGGGTCCAAAAATCCCTAAAAAAATGATCACGTGACGTCTCCTGACCCAATTATTTGTTTCATTAAATAGTAAATCGAATTGTACTGGAGCAAAATTCATATCTCTCCATATGTTCATCTAGATTGAAAATATTAGTAGTAAGAATAAGAAAATCTAAATTAAAATCGCTGAGTACTGAAGTATAACTCTTTTCTCTATCCATATTGAAGTCGCATCCAATAAACTTCAATAATTTCCCGAAGAAGCCAAAAAAATCAGATTTGCTAATATTATTTTGGAAAATGTATGTGATTGTATGTGGACTAAAATTTGATCTTTTGTCGACGTTCTCACAAAAACGACTATACCGATTTCAAAAAATTCAAAAACCATTTCATTGGTAAAGACCGATGTTGACTATAACTTTATAATTAGCAGAAAAGAGAATACATTTTTATCAATGTTTTAAACAAAAATCCTGTACCGATTTTGTAAGTGTCTGATCTGATCGTAAGATTTCAAATGAAAATCGTGATGATTAGAATTTAGTGAAGATCGGTCAAGTCGTTTCGTTGTAAATAATTGTCGATCATTTTTTTGACGATTAAACTTTATTTATTCACTCTTTCAAAAGTAAAATCAGTATACTAATTCTCAAATTAGCAGAAACAAATACTTTTTCTCTTATTACTACTCATAGAAAATTGATACAATTTGCTTCAATTTCAAAATGAGTTAAAAATAAAGTATCTCAACACAAAATTCAAATTAGGGGGTGTCCATTAATCACGTGAGATTTGAAAGGGGGAAAGGAATTTGACAAAAAAATACAAACTATTTCGTCAGGGAAGGGGGGTCTGATAAGATATCACTGGTATTTATTTTTGTCTAAATTTACAATATATTTCAAAATTTTAGAAAAATTTTCAAAAATGCAACGTTTTTTCTAGGTGATATGTGATTTCTAGATGATATGTGCCACCACGTATCACCAAAGGTAGAATAGGCGTCCAAAACTCGATCACGTGATTAATGGACGCCTCCTAAACGACGTATATTTAATATTGTAAGTCCAAAATTTCAATAAAGCCAAAATTAGCACAATTGACTGACTTATTTTGTTTTTCCTCTATTATATTTTTGTTAACGAGTGATGCACTTTTATCCAAAGTGTGATAATAAAACAGGGCAAAACAAAGCAAGCAAAAACACATAAATATTATTAACCAATAGTTTCTCATTTTATTTGACTTAGTTATTGCTCCTTTAAATCCAATATATGTGTGTATATTTGAACTAGAATTTGATCTTCTGTCGACGTTTTTACAAAAATGACTGCACCGATTTCATAAAATTTGAAAGCCATTTGATCAGTAAAGATTGACGTTGACTATTATTTTATAATTAGCAGAAAATTTAATGCATTTTTGTCAACGTTTTAAACAAAAATTTTGTACCGATCTTGTAAGTTCCTAATCTGATTGTAAAATTTTATTAGGATCGTTTTTATTAATATATCGCGCACACCAAACCAGGAAAGGGGGCGTTCATTAATCATGTGAGGTTTTAAGGAAAAGGAGAGGGGGGAGGGGGGTTTGACAAAAAATCACGAAATATCACGTTGAGGAGGAAGGGGTATAGTAAGATATCACGTGTATTTATTTTTTAACTGATTGTTTTAAAAAAATTACAGCATTTGCAAAAAAAAACAAAAATGTTACAGTTTTATCACGTAACTAAAAAAAATACACGTGATGTTTGCTGTAGGAAGGAGGGTAATTTTGAATATCACCATGTATCATCAAGAGCGAGGGGGGGGTCCAAAAATCCTTAAAAACTCGCTCACGTGATTAATGGACGTCCCCAAAGGATATTAGATGTATCATAAAAATTGGTATGATGATTTCTTCTAACGTGCAAATAATATTGTGACATCTGATGTCACGAATTAAAGAACTTAGCATGCAAGTTAGTGGACATCAGCCATCTCCGATTTCCCGTACATTTAATCCATAGTATAGAGGTCTATCCTATAGAAAAGTTAGTGTACGAGGTCCGAATAAATCTAAAAGCGCGCCGTATTGTCTGCATGGCCGTAAAAACAGAAAACACATATTATACAGATATATACTGGAGAAGAGAAGAGAAGTATTATAGATGTTCAGTGTAGAGGGTTATATGATATTCACGTCGCATAAGGCCGGACGTGAGGAGAGCCGGACAGACGCGCGACATGTGCGCCGGGCGAGTGTTGGCATGCAAATGAGCAAAGACCGCAGCGTGCCCGAGGGCTAAGGTAGGCACGCACGACACGGGAAATACTCCGAGAGGAAAATGTTTACTGCGTTTTACTCAAAGATAATTAAGTAAACGACTAATTCTATTGAGTTCATGCTTACATTTTTATATACTTAGTTGTTAAAGCAATCAGAACTATATGTTCTATAAGCTGTGCTGAGCACTGCTTATGACTAGGACAAGATTGTTGTTAATATGCAATCCATTGTTTGTCCCCTTACACTATTTGAGATATAGTTGAATATTAATACTAAACGCTATTAGAAGACAACCCCTTGGTCGTTGTTCTGATTGGGATATTGCAGCAATGCCGGATTAAATGCTATTTTCACTTGGAGACATATTGCGATAACAATAGGCTGCTTGAAGTTGGTATCGAACCCGGGACCTCTGAATCAAGTTCCGTCGCTCTAATCGCTTTTACCTACGAGCGAGCCTATGCTTACATTGATTCGCATTTTAAGCCTAGATAATTATGGAAACAACTAATTTTTTTTAACTTTCCGAAATTTTGCTAATTTTATATTTTCTCGCTGTTTCAAGCCATTCAGAATTGAATGAGACTAAATTTGAAATAAGTGGGCGTGTTTATATATGTAAACTGATTTTTTACCTTTTGTCGGCGTTTTTTCATTCTAATGTATATATTAATTTAAATTTTTATATCAATGTTTATATTAATTTAGATCAATGTGACTTCTTCTTGATGAAGAGACTTCTTCTAATCAAACTTTGAAAAAGTAGTTTTTAGCCCTAGAAGCCACAACAAAGTTCCAAATAAAAACTCTAAGTTTTTAGCCAAGAACAAAAAACTTCGTATTATTATATCAGGCTTCAAACACGTCTAATCTAGTTCGATTGTATGTGAGAGAGTATTTTCTATTTCAGAAAATTTTGTGAGTAAACAAAAGACACTTCTAAATATGAAATCGATAGACATCCTCAGCTTTTTGAGATCATATTTTATTAAGGGGGTCTTCCTATATGATGAGTTAAAAAAAATCGATTTTTTTTTCTTTTCATATTTCGGTAGATTACACCTTTAAAAATAACATTAAAATTTCAAATCGATATCTCAAATAGTTTTTGAGTTAAAGCCATTTAAAAAGTATACATATAGTATATAGTACAAAGATCATTTTATCTTTAAAGGCGTTTTTCTCAAAACTGTGTTTTTCAAACTTTCCTCCATTGTATCTCAGAAACGGCTGGACCGAATTACTTGAAATTTACAGGGCACACTCAATCGAAAATTTTCAAAACTTCGATTTTTTTATAGCAAAAAAACAAAAAAAAGCGCCTAACTTGCAACTTTTATTTCAAATGTCTATCAAAAATCCAATTTTTTTTGTATTCATTTGATTATAGGTCAGTCCGTGCTTTTAAGCCTACAAATTAAAACGCCGTTTATTTTTTTTTTTGGTCAGATAAGCCGATCAGCCGGAATAGTGGAAGAAGTGGGAGCTCTTTTTTTCGAGGCGGGGGTGTTCAGAGCCCTGTAACTCTAGTTTGACTAAATATTTTTAGCTGAAATTTTATATTTATACTGTCCAAATATGTGTTACTAAATGATAAAAAAACTTGAAGCTCTAAATATTTACTGGTCGTAGAAAAAAAATCCAAAAATATCCCTAAAAAACAGGCCGTCACATAGGAAGACCCCCTTAAACGAAAAAAAATTAAAATATTTGAAATTAAACAATAAAAATTGCAGGAAATAAAAATTTTCTTAACTTTTTTTAGAACTAAAATTGGCATTAAAAATTAGTATCAATATATAGCTAAAATTATTTTATTTTTTTTATTTTAATTAAAAGTTAAGTTTTTTATTTAGAAATGTATTATTTTTATTTATTCGAACTCTTTTCTTTGTATTTTTATTTTTTTGATTTACTAATTTCAATTAAAATAAATTTGTTTAGTATCCATAGAATTGAACAATGAATAAATTCAGTCAAAAACTACTTCAAATTACACTAAATTTGCCAAAAATTTTTCTTTTGTTATTACAGAATATTCGAGCAAAAATTAATTTTTTATATAAAATTCCAAAACAGGTTTTCTGAAATGTCGGTTTTTGTATAAACTCTATTCGGAATTGTGTTGTATAGTTTTTGGTAAAAATCGGCCGAGTCGTTCTTTTGTATTTAAACGTTTCATGAAACTTTACATGACAATAGATTTTATAGCCGGAAATACTATATTAAATATTGCTGGCTTAATATAAGCGATTCAATTATGAAAATTCATCAAAGTTTAGAATTTCATACGTTCAAGCGATTCTAATCAGAATCTGTGTCGAAGCATATGTACATTTTTTGGTGTTGCGCAGATACCTACTGATTACAGTTGACGTCCACACTTCATACATCTTTAGAACCCAAAATGGATAAAATAAAAGGTGTTAAAAAAATTAATTCAATTTACACAATTACAGATATTATAGTATTTTCAAAAGACATCAATTGGAAATCGCATTTATTAATCTTTAGTGAAAGCACAAATGTTATTTTCAAATTAGCAGTTGAACATTCTACTAAAATAGCTGAATCTCGATTTTTATTGATTAGGTTGATTAATCATTTTTATTGATTAGGTTGATTAATGGTTATGTATAAGTATAGGGAAGTTAATGCAGCTCAAGACAAATGCTAATTTATTATAAATTATCACTTGCACGATTATGAATTTGTATATAAGCATGTAATTCTAAATAGTTAATTTCGATTAAAATATTAATTATTTCATTATATTATAATTTTCATACCTCTGCCATGTGAGCCAAGCCCAATTCAATCGGCCCAGCCGTATGCCCGAATTTCATGAACACGTGGGCTGAGTACGCGCTTGCGTTTTTTTGACGATTTTTCTCCTATTGTTCTTGTTTCAAATGCTTTTGTTTTTATTTTCTTTTTGGAGGAGGCTTCAAAGTACGCTAATCGCTTAATTCGAGCTTTTAATTGTTTCAAAAAAAAATTGGCATGTTTTATTTGAAAAAGGCCGACGGCGAAAAACGCGGATGAACAATAAAAATAAATGATGGACGAGATATACATCATATATATGAGTATCATATTATATATACAGGGTGTCTCAGAACTCAACGTCAAACCGAGATAGGGTGATAGTATTGACCGTAAGGAAAAAATAATTACCTCACGTCGGTTAGAAATTATGAGCTTTCAAGTGCAATCTAGAGCTTTGGTAAAAATATGACCATTTTACGGTTATTGTGGTTAGTTTTTATTAATTTTGTTCAATAAAACTTTGGAATGTGAATAACATTATTAGGATCACAGTCAAAAATAATAGAACAATTGCCATAAGTTTTTAAAAATTAATTTTAAGACTTTTTGTTGAACTATGAAATCTATATATAAACTTTTTGCATTATAAATATCTATATTTAGTCAAGTACATATTTTTATTTCAAGTATAGACCACAGACACATTTATAAAATTATAAAAATTACATTTACTATAAAATCTTAATATATTCATCATTTATACTTAAGAGATCAATTGGATTATCTGATAACTTAATGCTTTTACTAACAATCATTTTCAAAAAGAAATTTTCATAAAACACATTTGTTAAATATTGTAGAGTTTCTACATTTTGTGCGTCAATTCCGTTTTGTAAGTCAAGTTCTTGAAGTTTTCTTTCTAAATAAATATTTTTATCAGCAAATAAATTTTTTAAAAAATTTGAATTTAAAAATAAAAGCAAACAAACTGTAGGATTTATAGATCCGCCGTTATATTTTAAATGGGCAGAATAAAAATTAGTCATTTCATTTCTTATATCTACATTTTCATCTTGCAGTAAATTAATTATAGTGTTAACGCATTTCACCTTGTCTTCAAGGAATATATCAATTTGATTATTTCGAGATCCTTTGAATAAAATTAATACAATGTTGTTCAAGGATTTTGCAACATTGATTCTAACATCTTCAGTACAGTATTCGGCGTAAGTACAAGTAGTTTTTAAAATATCTTTAATAAAAACCCAGTCCACAGTTGTGTTTCTATCATAATAATATTTAAAATCGATGTAACTACATTTATGGCAAGTGTGATAATATTTATAGAATAATTTCCGCTATCAATAAAAGCCTTATACATTTTTTGTAACTTACTTGGACAACAAGTAGTAAGTGAATTTAAAACTTTAAGTAACACTTGGAAGATTAAATAAATGTTATCAGTGTCAACAATATTCATATGATCCAGTAAATAATTAAATATTTTATCAAAAATTATTTGGTGATCGTCACACTTTGTTTCTAATCTATTAAAAAAATAAATAAAAAATGTTTTAAAAACATCTGTACAATAATTTTCTAAAACGATATCAAGAATTAAAGGTATTTGTTTGAAATCACAGTTGCTAACTAAATGTTTCGTTAAATTTTGAATATAAATAGGAATCCCAAAATCCAACTTGCTTTGTACATTAACTTTGGATAATAAATACTCATATGAGCAAATCCAATTTTTATCAATATGAACATTGCTTATAGTACACATAATATCTAAATACAAGGTTTTGGTGTAATATGTTGAACTGGTAAAACTATCACTCAACTTTAATATTTCATTGCTAATTTCGATATCTATACTTTTATCGAACATATATTTACCTTGTATCAAAAATTTATCTACCAAGTAAGCAAGACCTAATAAGGCTCCGTGAGTAAAATTTTCTTTGTTACTCAAAGTCAACTGTTTACACAAATAAATAATTTGATTTTGAATCTCCGGTAAACGTGTAAGACAGGCATAACATTTTGCTGCCAAATTTCTCACAACCTGTATTGGACTAGAAAATAAGTTTACAAATGCAACTTGAAAATCTAAAACGGTTTGTTTCAAAGAATCGTCGTATGAAGTAGTCAAACCCACAACAGCACCACTTAATAAACTTAAAACAGGGACTAAACATGCATGGTTAGAAATTACATTGCAAGTGTCTTCGATCTTTGTCGTTAAAGTTGTGTATATAATTTGTCTTAACTCTGGGTAGTGTAGAAGTAACTCACCAACATCTATAAAAAGATAATTCATCTTCAAATGTAAAATACCTTCACTCGGTGGGATCTCAACAGCAGTATCATCAAGAGTTCCTACTACTCCCTTTTTTTGACCGATGAATTTTGGAACGATTGCCCCAAATAATTGAAGAGCTCCATTTCTGTAAAAAAAATATACCATACTTAATTATTCATGACTGCAAAAATATATCTAAATTGGAAATTTTAATTTAAAGTGTAGAAAAGATAACAACGTTGTTCTCCGCGATCTCAGCTTATAAAAACAAATTTTGAATAGTATATATAATAAAACTTTATTACCTAATAGGCCAGGAAGGAGCAAAGAAATATTTGAAAGCCAATCCAGTCAGTTCACTCATATAAGGAGCTAAATCTACTTTTAAACTGGAATCTTGTACTAAACCCTTAACATAATGAAGAACCGATGCCTCGATTACATCACTGACTTCTGACTGAGATTTTTTAGCCATTTCTTCAGAACCTTCAATATTTTCAAGATTTTTATCATCAACAATACTTTGGGATACAGTTAACACAGGTTCTGTATCAACTTCTTTGAGAATCATCAGTAAATTAGTCATAGCATGTTTTAAAAGAGGCTGAAATAAATAAATATTTATAGTTCCAGGCATTTATAGTTCTGAGTTATAAATTTTAATAAACCTCTTCTTACCTTATTGTCTCTATTATCAGAGCTAATTAGCCTATGAAATAAAATTCCCATACCGGCTCCCCTGCGGGTCATGGATGGACCCTGATAAGTTGAGGTCAAAGTACTTAAAATATGTTTCTCCAAAATTTGTTCAGGAAGTTTGGATTCTGGATGAGCTTTGGTCAAATTACGAATAAAATTAGCTAAAAATTGAAAGATGAATTAATTACTTTGCACGATACCTAAATGTGAACTAATTAATAATTCATACAAAAAACAAATTAAATGAGATTTTTTACCTAAACTGAGTCCGGCACCTTCTATGACACCTTTGTGTCTACATCTAGTTAATGCAGAAACAATAATTTGGGAACACCGCGTTATCACCTCATTTGAATTGGTATCTGAATTTGATAAATACTCACTTCCATTAATTAAAGTAATTGCTAATGCTGATGATATATCCGTGCACAACTGCAAATAAATTATTTACATATTTATATTTAATTACTTTGTATTCTATTGAGCAATACGCATGGATTCCTATTGGAATCAGTGGTAACAACCCAGACTGATTATTTTCACATCATAAATATATTAAAATTTATAACAAAAAATATTAAGGGTTTTATTACTGTTATTTACTTACCCTTAAAGTCATCCACAAAGAATTAAAAACGTCTTGATAAATATTGGAACAATCAATTTCCTCAGCCGATTTTGAATTTGAAATCAAAAACGTTACAGCATCATCCATTTCTGAAAAACTTGGAGCAACTAAATATTCTGTTTTCGGAGCTGTTATCGCAAATGTATTTAAACAAAATTGGCTTATTTTTTCAGTCGTTTGTACAAGATTTGTCAGAGATTCAGTGTTTAAAATTGCTTCACTCAATGTGCAATTGTTTATTAAAAATTTCAAAGCTGTTAAAATTCCGTACATAGGTTTGTGATTTAAAATAGCTTTCACGCAATCTTGTACAAATTCAACATATTGTTGTTCCAATAAATTTGTTAAACATTCTATAATAGTTCTGGATTTTGTATTTAAAACTTCATTCATCAATCCCAAAATTTCATCATGTTTCTGTAATTGCAGCAAAAGCACCACATATAAAGCTCCACATTCAGTTTCATGTGTAGTTGTACTATTACACAATCCAAAAGACTTTAAAACAATTTGTTTTGCATCTTGAAAATCTGAATAAACAAAATATTCTACCATAATTTTAACTGCTAATTCCCTAACGTCATTTGTTGGATCCAAAACGCTTCTTAGTAAAAGTTCTAGGCTATCATCATTAGTAAATTTCCATTGGTTTTCTTTCATGAGATATTCACAAACTTTCATGCCTTGGGATTTCAAATTTCCTTTTCTACATAAACCTTTTCTTCTGTTTTCCAAATTTTCAGTACCTCCATTCAAGTACCTCAAAACTACATCGTACAGCATCAGAGATAGATATTTTCTTTGGTAGTTTGCTTCAGAGTTTAGATTGACGGTCAAAAATGCATGTATCCAATTTAAAAATTCTGCCATGTTTAACAAATTTTGGCGAATTTCAAGATTCGAGTCGTCTTTCTTAAGCAATTTAAAATTATTCAAAGATGAATCTCTTACACGTATAATAAATAAGGTAAAACTATTAACTATACTTTGTCTCAAGTATGTGCAATCACTACTTGCATTGCAAAATAGAAATATTTTTACTTTTTTATATTCCTCAGCTGTAGGGCTTATAAAAGTTTTTGGAGTGATACATAGAAATTGGAAGTACAAACTTCTTAAACTTTCATTGGAATTGGCTGAACAATTATTCAATAGTTGCAAAATATGCTCATCTTTTGAGATTTCATTAATCAAACCATTTTTTCTGCATAATACAAGAAGACAACAAATAGAGTACCAATGTTTAGAATTAGTCGACAATTTTAATTCCTCTAAGAATTTTAGTATAATTTCTGGAGTTGTTTTAACGATGTGAGGTAACCAATAGTTGTATAACGTTTGAATTACACTGAAAAATTAAAAATTGCATTAAATAATTTTATTTTATCTGAAATTCCAGAAAAATCAGTTATTTCACATTATTAAATTGAAAATGGTGAGAGGAGAATAAGATCGACAAATAATCTAAATCAATTTGCATCAAATATTTTGGAATTAAATCATATTCATGTTTATATACATATAAATAAAGTCCAGAAATTGTGAAATAATTAAACAGCTGATCAATAAATAGAAATCTAATTAAATTTGCATTATTAATGGTTCACAATTTTTGCTGAAAGTTGAAGACATACCAATATTTTTCGTATGGCAGGTTTCAAATTTATTAAATCATCAATCTACTTACCTAACTGGTTCAGTTTTTAATTTCTCCAATATTTTCTCCTGTAGATAATTCCTGGCCTGAATACTTTTCCATAGTTCAATAAACAAATTCGTTCCTGCTGAAATAACTCCTCCAGCCGATAAACTACTGAGAAGACCATCACAAAAAGACTCCAAATTCAGGACAAAATTTTCTTGATTCTTGTCACACAGACAAAAATGTTCAAATACATAATCACAAGAATGTGTCTTAAGAATCTCAAGAAGGATGAAATATTTACTTTTGCACAACCAGGATAAATGTATCAATGTGTCTTGAAATATTTTTACCACAGCAGTTTCCTCCAAATGTTTTAAAGTTTCATTTAAAATTTTGCAATTATTTTCACGAACTCCGGTAACGGTGTTATCCCAATTTGAATTTATGATCAACAAAATTTTGGAGATGATGGTATTATCTAATTTAAGCCAGTATTTGTGTTTAGTAAAATTTAATACCAATTTATGAAGACATCTAAAAGCAACAAACGATATTTTCTCGCAGCTCAAACAATTTTTTTCACTTATTTCAAAAATGCTCATCAATAAATCAAATCTTTGGTTTTCAAAATAATGGTCATCCAAAATATCATATTTCAAAATGCCTTCTATAAAATATAATTGAATAGCTGTTTTGTTGTTCACAAATAAATTTAAAATACAGGCTATAAAATAAAAATTGTCAGTTATAGGCTCGTCCAGCAAAATTGTTTTTACTATCAAGGAAACTACATCATATTGTTCTTTTAGCAAACTTTTCAAAAGTACACATATTGCATTCATCAGTAATATCCTAATTTCAGTTTCATAAGATTGCGTAAATTTTGTCAAAAGCCAAGATAATAATTCATCTAACATTCCATCATATTTTATATCACATTTTTGGTAGTCTAGTATAATTTTTCTCAATACAATTTTAATATCATTAGCTTCATGTTTAAGTTCATTTAAATGCATATTTAGGTTTGAATTTGAATTCTCCATTGTTTATTCAAATCGGTTTATAAACTCTGAAGATCCTGATATTGTTATCGTTTTTCACAACCTGGTCCCTGTTTAAATACTCTTTTTCGACTTTGTCCACCAACAATAAATGTTGACGTTTTCTTTCGAAATGTTTAATCCATTGACTAGGACAATTCGATTCTAATATGGATTTTAGAAATTCACAAGGTTCTTGAGATTCTGGTAATTGTTTGGAAAAATCAGTGTTAAGACAATCCCAATATTGGTCCCTGGCTATCCAGCATTTCATTCGGCTTTGTTTTGATTTGAAAGACATTCTGGAAAAAATTATAAAAAAATATACGTAAAATTTCAAACGTAAAGGAACCAACTAACAATTTGTATTTATCATTGGATTTATTAAATATTATTTTCTATATATATGAAAGTCGGGTTTTCCTTCCTGATGAAATAACTCCAGAACGCACGAATCGATTTCGACAATTTTGCATTCGTTGGAAAGGTCTAGAGCTCCGCAAGGTTTATAGCTACGAATAGCTATAGCTAAGAATTAGTGGTGCATGGCATCGTGCCTTCATGCAAATTGCTGGAACTTCACGCACCGTAATTAAAAATTCGAGTAATGACATTAGTGAGAATTATCAGAATTATGCATGGTTAAGTCAACGAACAATTCTTACCGCTAAGTATAATGATATACACGCACTGAATTTCACCATTCAATCAAAAAATGCTGGCGATTTGGTTTGACTTCAAACGATTGCAATTTCCAGTTCGCCTTGCGTTTGTAACAACAAGTCGCAAGGCCAATCGCTTAGTGTTTGTGAGATAAATTTCAAATAGATTATTTAGAAAATCATTGTTTTTCACATGGGTAGTTTTACGTTGCTTGTTCACGAGTTGGAAAACCATCCGCTTTGTTTGTGTTAACGTCAGACCAAAAAACAAAAAATGTGGTTTACCAAAGAGCACTTCAATGAAACGGATAATTTGCGAAATCACTTTCATTTACTTAGGGAAGTTCAACTAAAAAACACTTCATTTTTGTAATCGAAATAAATTCATTACTGTTGTGTAATAAAATCAAAATTTTCCTTTTCAAATATAAAACAAACAAAAAATGTCATCTTTCTCACGAAACCATCTGGTGGCGAAACGGAGTTCGTCGGGTTTGCTAGTCATATATAATAATATTCCGTATACAAAAAAAGTAAGGGTCCATAAGGCAAAGGCTTAAAAGTGGGGGAAGGTTTAACAAAATATCACATAAAAAGAGAAACCAAGGCGTAAAATTTTTGGATTTTTTTTTAAATTAAATGTACATGTTACTAAAATTAGCCCCTCTCTCGCCTAATTTTAAATGTCACCACCAAGGATGAAGCAGGGGTCCAAAAATCCTTAAAAATCGATCACGTAAATAATGGACATCCCCTAGCAGACTAAATATATGTTATGCATGGATAAAAAATAAACAGGGATAAAAAACGAAACAGTCTTCACGATCTTTACCAATCACCATAATCAAAACAATTCTCAATTAATAACTATCAGAATTTTTGGACAAAAAATTTAAACTTAGAGGGTGTCCATTAATCACGTGAGATTGTCAGGAAAAAGAGGGGGTTGACAAAAAAATCACGGAATATCACGTGGGGGAGAGAGGGCTATAGTAAGATATCACGTGTATTAATTTTTTACCTGCATTTTTTTTATATCCAAACCTTTTTAAAAATAAAAATCAAAAACTTTACAATTTTTTCTCATAACTAAAAATACATGTGTTGTTTGGTGGGGAAGGAAGGTAATTTTGATTATCACCACGTATCACTAAAGTGGAGAGGAGTTCCAAAGATCCTTAAAAAATCAATCACGTGATTAATGGTCGCCCCCTTGCGAGTTATATATTTTGGATAAGATATTTTATATTTCATATTGTGATAATATATAACAAGTACGGAAAATTGTGAGCCCGCATAATACAATATTTCATTATAAAATATTAAAACCCTAATGCAGCGGTTTCCAACCTGTGGGACGCGCCCCCTTAGGGAGCGTAATCTGTTTTCAGAAAACTATTATCAAAAATAACCCAACATTTTTGAAATGAAATTAAAAAATAAACAAAAAATAATTACTTTTTATGCATATTTTCACATAATATTAATTTGTATACAAATCAGACTATAGTCTGATAATATCAGTTGAGTATTTATAAAATTAAACCGTAGAAAAAATTATGGGAAGGGCGCAACAACTTTTTTTGTCAGAGCAGGGGGGCGCGGTGCAAAAAAGTTCGAAGGAACTGCCCTAATGCTGTATTTGCATAAAAAAAATTTCAATGATTTTTATAGAGAATAAGACATTGTAATTTCTGATGTTATGAAATAACATCATAATAATACAATTCATAATAATTATGAACGATCTGAAACAAAATTCTAATACAAAATCAGTATTTACAGTCCACTACAAAGTTTGATCATCGTCTTTATTTCGAAATAAAAAGATTTTCTAAAAGCAGAATTTCTATAAAAATTAATTACACAAAATTTCACTAAATTTAAACTTACGTTTAAGTCAACTATTTTAGATATTGTCGCACAAAATAAAAATCCAAAAATATCTAACAACAATTTAAATGAAAATAAATTATTTGTTCTCTAAGTCATATAAAACCAATTTTACTACAATTATTCTTTATTATAATAATATCACACCTGTTTCTTCGGAAGGCACCCACTTAAACTAACATAAGTTTGGCGCGAGAAATTTATATATAATAAAGATTACGTTTTACAGAATTATCTAAACACGAGGCAAAAAATAGAAACAAGTGCTGAATTAGTGATCACATTATAATTTCTATAATTTAATAAAATATACGAGTTTTATATAAATAATCAACATAGTCGCATCGATGTAAAAAATAATTTGCGATGTAAAAAATATTTCAGACAATTTGAATGCTCCTGATTAAAAAAAAATTCTTAAAACTTTACTATTGCTGATTTATTTAATAAATATGTTATAATTCATATATCAATAAAGGAAAATCTAATAAGAGTTGCATTTGGATTATTTTAAGTAACATATTATTTATAGGAAAATCTAATATGAATCGTATTGGAATAATTTAATATGTAATTTCCATATATCAATAAAGGAATATCTAATAAGAGTCGCATTTGGATTGTTTTAAGTAACATATTATTTTAGGAAAATCTAACATGAATCGTATTGGAATAATTTAATATGTAATACCCACACTTTGAAATAGAATCTAATAAGATTCCAAATGAATTGTCCTAATGGATTATCCCAATACAACTCTTATTAGATTCTGCTTCAAAGTGTGGGATGCGTAATTTATTAACTTCAAAATTGTGAGAATACATCAGAAAACGAAGAGCAGCTTCTGTTTTATTTATAAATATAAATATACAACACAAATATATTCACTATCTATAAATACTTTCAATGCCGATTATTACATCAATTGGAATTGACTCAATAATTAACTCAAAATAGAGTAGATTTCAAATCAAGACTTTAAAATTTTAACTTACAATAAGTAAATATATTTGCAGAGTAAAGTATCTGTTTTGAGATACCGTTCAATAAACTTCTAAATCTTGACGTTTCAAAAGTTTCTGAACATTTTGGCATACCTTAGAATAAATGGGTATATGTGTGTGTGTGTATGTGCGGATACAAATTTTCGTCGACGATTTGGGGAACACCGATCAACCGATTTGAATAATTCAAAAAAAATTCGATTCGTATTGATATTGAGACGTGCTGATTATTTTTTGGCGAAGGCTGGTCTAGCCGTTCCAAAGATACGGGGCAAAAAGTGCCAAAAACGGTAACTCAGTTTTTAAGATAACGGTGTAAGATAAGTTAAAAAAATGTAATTTGGCGGTCAAAATAGCTTATGGAGTTTTTCCATAATTTTTCCAAAAAATTTATACATGATTTCACGGAGCATTTTGTGTTATTTTTTGGAAAACAGAAGAAAACACTTAGCTATAATAATAAGGAGTGATTTAGAAATGCTAGGTAAAATTGTTAACTTTTTGATTTTCTGTACTCGATTCTTTTTTGATAATGAATGTCCTTATGAGAATATAAATCTACAATTTTCAGACATAATCTGCAAAATCATATGCAAATGCAAAATCATATGTAAATCAACCCTTTCCATTTGGATACCGCCGCTCCGGCGGCAAAATTCATATAAATCTCGGAATTTGCGAGTGGAAAGGGTTAATAAAAAGTAATAGGAACAAGTAATCAAAAAGATAATGTAAAATTATAACTTATGGAAGCCGAAGTCTTTCATGTATCATTCCTACAATAGTAATTTAGTAATTATTGTTTTTCTTTATATTTATAGAAAATAGTTTTTAATCCAGAATCTATTTGAGATAACTGGTTTTGCCACTTAAATATTATTGCAATTATAAAATTTCCGGTAAAACAAAATTGTTTTAACCTAACATAACCTAAAAATTTTATGATTTTGTACAAACTATTGAGACAGAATTAAAGAATATAATCGAAAGCGAATGTAATATACTTAAGTAATTTATTATTAATAAGCATAATAATATTTCAATTTATTAAATACCAAATTTCAGTAAAAATCTTAGGTAAAAATAATAAACTCACCATTGAAGTAGTTTCTATAACACAAACACATCACATTTTTATGATATATTATAACTATAATATATTAAAACAAGCTATCACATGCACATAATGTAACTACATAGAAATAAATATTTATTTTAATATATTGATTGTACAACATCAGCATTTTCTGATCTAATAAATACATAACCTTAAAACTCTTTGACAACTGACAATTGACATTTTGACATGTGGATGTTAAAAAATAAAATTTCTAGATGTGCTCTAAATAAGATGCTCTTTAATATTTAAATATGAAAAATATATTCAGTATATATTTTATTTGAAGTATAAGTTCCATATGACCTAACAAATATATTTATTTTAAATATCTAAATCATCATCTGGGTCTTCTTCATCCCAATCATCTGCAGCCTCTAGTTCATATATAATTTTTCCAGTTCCCGAACTTGAAACAGAATCACCAGCACCAATTTGTGTGTATGGCAATACAACCTGGTCTCTAGATTTTTTTTCATTTTCATTAAGTTCAATTCTAAATGTGGACAACCCGGATGGTAATGTATCTTGATTATCTGCCAATTTCTTAACAACGGGGGTAAACTTTTTGGAGTGCAGCATTCGATTTTCATCAACCCAGCAGGATATTGTATCCTTGATTACTTTCCTACCTGGTCTACGAATCAGTAAGGAACAGGTGTTTGAATTGCTGTTTCCATCAGTGATTTCTATAATTGCATTTGATATATGATGAAGATCAACTAAAACATTTTTTGAAGGAACACAATCTCTGTGTAGCAGAGTAATTATTTGAGTAATAAATTTATTACTTAATAATTTTCTGAGTTGTGTGAAAAAATCTTTCATTAGTATATAACATTCTGCTAAAGAATCAATTACAATTACGGTGTTTGTGCTGGATTTAGACGTTTCTTCAAAGACTTCATTTAGACCATCGAAGTTATGGAAACAATCATGCAAATGTATGTTGTCCACATCTTTCAACTTCTCTTTGTAATATGATGGAGGTTTTTCTAAGCATAATAGCTTTACAGAATTTTTACTGCTTTGAGTGCTAACTAGAGAAAGAAATAGGTTTTGACCACATAACTTAACAGTGTCTTCGACTAGGACGAGTTTTGGAAACGGAGTTTCATATATAGCAGACAACATGTCTTTACTTATAATTCATGTATATATACAACAATATATTCTTCTTATAATAATATATTAATGCTTTATCAGTTTTCCGATACTTTAGATTTAATGATATTATTTCATTTTAAATGTAAGCGTTAAAGTGTTTTTCTACTTTTTTGACACATGAATTTAAATTTTAACCTATACTTATTACCTATATGAAATATGCAACAAGTTCTCCCCATTAGTGCCAACTTAAACAAAGATTGCTTATTACTATGTCGGTTATAATTTCGAAATTTAAATATGTTTTCTTCGATTTTTCTGCAGATGAATGTTTGACTTTTGATAACACATGTATTTTACATCACCCTTCAATTTTATTAAATTGTAGTTTATGTCACTTTTTTACATGATATTTGAATACAATTTAACATTGTATGCAAATTTGCATAGTAATGCAAACTATAGTACAAAATGTATATTGTTCTATAGTATACAGATTATAATTTATATTTTAGATTTTTAAAATGAAAATAAAGTAAATGACCTTGTGGCTTATACTCAAATACTTGTATTTAAAGCTCCATTAATGAAAAATAAAAAACTGTTTATCCGTATATTAAATATATTTACAATTCAAAAATATACTTCAAGCATCAACTTGCATGGTAAGTGCTGTAATAGAATGCTTACTTCTCCTTTATTTTCATAATTTATTTAAAAATATTTTTGCAGTGTTTCACCAATTGAAACTTCTAATTGTTGTATAGCTTTCTGACAACTTGATTCAATTTCTGTATCCTCGTCTTCCAAAAGTTCAGCTAAGAATGGAATCGTCTCTGGCAACAAAGGTAAGAAATCTTCTCCAACTTTTTGAGCTATTTCACAAGTGGCATCCAGACCACATAATCTGAAAATAGAAATTAATACCATGATAAATATAAAAAGGGATCAATTACTATATTATAAAATATTTATATATTAAATATAAAAATATTTATATTTATATATACATATATAAGACTATCATACCTGATTTCTGAAGAAGAATGTCTAGTTTTCAATAATACTTGATAATTCAATTGTTTCCATAATGAATCATCACCACAAGCAACAGCAAGCTGAGCAATGCAAGGTATTACAATTCTTTTTGCCCTTTCTCTCAATTCTGTGAGATTGCCTAAGTTATTTTCCAATTGATCAACTAATGGTTGCATTATTATTTCAAACTTCTCTTTATTAATGAAATTCTGGCTGTCGTATAAAAATACCGAATACAAGGTTTTCATAATGCTTTCAACTAGAATTATACATTTTTCTGGTTCATCAAAATACAGTTTGTCTGTCTTTATTATATTGCAGCTATCTAATAATACACAAGCATTGTTTATGAAACAACCAGCAAATAGAACAAATAAACCTTTTAAGCTTTCTGCTATATTATTTGACAATCGATAAAAGGTTATTGAACGGTTTTTATTAGAACTGCTAGTAGCAGCCCAGTCAAAGAGCCTATAATACAAAGGCTTGAATGAAGATTCAGATAATTTAAGAACCAAAGATACAAATGCATTGAATATGTGACTTTCAACAGCTTCAATCTCAGTTTCTGTAATGTTGTCCTCAACAATGTCACTTCTAAACTGCAAAGCTTCCAAAAAGAAGTTCGTCAAGTCAATTTGGTGTGCTGAAAAATCAGCATTTGATATATTTACAAAACTTTCTGAAAGTGTGTTCATAACAAATGCTACAGCATTATAATTGCGCTTTTTGATCAATTTTAAGTAACTTTCCTTAACTGCAGGTATTAAAACACGAGGAGCCAATGCACTAGATATTTTGCCTGATATAGTTTTCAATTTAGCATGAAGTGAAGAATTTTGTTGATTTTCTTCATTAAATTTACATTTTAGAAGAGCCAGTTCATACATTATTTTTTCTATGTATGGACTCAAAAATAGTGCTAAGCATTCAACTATTTTCTGCAATGCAGTAATAGTACTCAATAATAAAAGATCTACAGTTTCAGCACTGTTTTGTGATTTTAGTATATTTATCAAAGCTGGCATAATTGTAGGTATATTTTCAATAGCATTTGAACCCAAATTGTTACATAACTCAGCTAAGCATAAAACAACTGATGATAAAACATTTTGCTGAATATTATTTGGTTGTGCAGTATACCCAGTAACGAGAGATAATATTGGCTTGAATTTTAATGGTTGTACAGGTCCTAATAACTTTGATAACAGTTTCATTGCTAGTAATGCTGTTTGTTGATTCATTTCTATTTCCAAAACATTAGTATTTTCATCAGTTTGCTCACTTATAGTTTCAATAACTTTAGTCAGAGGCTCCAATACTCCAAATAAGGTTTCTTTGTTGCAATTATCAAAGAATGTTATATTATGTTGTATCCTATTTATTAATAACTCCATAGCTTTGCGCCGAACTGTAGCTAAATTGTGAGACATCAATCCCTTAGTCACTAACAAGAACATATCAGCTGAAAGCAGACCGTTCACGCTATCCAAAATGTCATAAGCATGATGAAGCATGACTTTCCAATACTTGGCTTGTGGTGTTCCCATGCTTTTATCACTGATTTTTGACAATAATTGTATGAAAGTCAATGTGTTAACTATCATAGTTTTATATAAACTTTCTAGTTTAGACATCTCTGCTTCCTTCAGGACCGCTATGGTATTCATAAAAAGTGGTGAAGAGATCAAACCACTTATGAAAGTTATCAAAGTGTATTTGAAATGCCTTAATTGTTTCGGTGTATGAACATTGTAATTGAATATTAAAGTATTATCCATGGACCCTGGTCTATGGCTGTCTTTATCAATGGGTAAAGTTTTTACATAAATAAGTAATTTGTTACAACTTTGAATTATAACATTTGGTGCATATTCTCTTGTTAGTGTGCTGGCAATATCCAAACGCCTTTGTGATGTCTTATCTTTATTATTCTCTTCGTGCAAAACTTGAGACTCAAAAACTAAGCCAAGGAACAACCATAGAAAATGTTCTGCACCTAAAGTATCAATTAATTTTTTAAATAAAGGTATTCTTCTGTGTTCTGGTATATCCAATAGAACTCCAACAAAAACTCTCAGTAACGGAATAATGTTTTTCTCCAAAGTTACAGCTTGATCCTCAGATAAACTATCCAAATCGTGCTCCACTAGTTTGGGAATAACACTTTCAATTAGTTTTGTTATAATTTGGAAACTATAAGCATCATCATGACGTAAAACCGAAGAACCCATAAATGTGAAAATTGCCATCATATTATGTAATACTTGATCTGGTACAATCTCGGCCATTTGACACAAAAGCATTAATGCATGGTGATGTGTTTGAGGATTTGATGTAGCCCTGATACACTGTACAACTAATTCAATATTGAAAATATTATCAGGCAATTCTTTGATATCACGCGCATCTGAAGATATTTTGTTGCAACAATGCAGGATGCATGATAATAATAGTTGTTTGGTGTATTCAACTGGAGCTTGTATATCAAATTCCAAACATCGTTTGAGAACATCAAAGACCATTGGCAACATATTTTCAATGTCAATTATTTTCTTCTTGTTCTGCACAAACTCTAGCAATGTTACACCTCTTTTCCAGGGTCTTGTTAATAATAAAGCAGGTGTTGGAGCTACATTGATCCTTCTTGATCGCCTTCTAGGTTCTTTATTTTCAGGTTCAGGATTTTGAACATCTCTCATCAATTGTAATTCATTTTGTATTAAATTTGCATCTAATTCTATACGTTTCATAAACTTGCTAGCAGATGATATAATTGTAGGCATTTCGGAATCTGTTGCGGAGTCTATGACATGTGATATGAGAGAGGCATGTAAATTCTTTGGTATATTCATGTAAGTATCATTATCAATTTGATCTAAAAGTAATTTACAAACATTAGAAATTGTTCCATTTCTAAAATGACATGATTATTGTGATACTGTAAGCATTTTAAAAGAAATATCCATAAAGCAGAATTTTGATTAATTGATTTAATTGTCTGTTTGTTGATTCTATATATTATATTTTGTACAATTAAAGACTTATGTTTATCCAATGGTTTATCATTGTTTTTCCCAAATTCCAAAACCTCCAATGCTAATTTGCTAATGTCGCTCAATATTTCTTCTGAGTTAACAAGGGAAAAGATTTTCAACATCGAGCTACTTATATGCAAAGGATTACTACGATGTGTTATATATCCATATATTTGTTTCAAACATTTATGTTTTGATGCTTGTACAGATTTTTTACTTGGATTTTCTGGTGATAGTATTATAAACAAAACAAGAGGCAACTGTTCAGGATCCAACAATATTTCTTCTTTATGATTCATCAATTGAGACAACAAATAATAGTGGTTTCCATTATTTTCATAAGTTTTTTTAAGTAGAGTTTGAATTAAATCCACTGCAGCTTTTCGTATACAATTTGTAGTATCAGTCAATGACATTAAGATGTTTTGAATAAATATACTTGAATCCAAAACTGGAGTTAAATCATCTTTTGTTTTTTTCAAAAGTGCTTTTACTAGGCGTAAGCAACGAAGTTGTAACTCTGGATTAATATTAATGCTTTTATCTGAAGAGCCATTAGACTCTAACTCCAAATAATTGAAGAAGTTGGAGATAAACTCGCATTTTTTGCTAATACTTGGTCCATATTTAGCAAAAAAGTTATTTAACACCTGAGCATATTGCATTACAATTTCTATGTCATTAAGACTGCATCCTGTTATTAAAACTTCAAATAGTGATATTAAAAACTTAGCTGTATTATTATAATTTGATAGGTTCATATTTTTAATGTTATTTATATTTGAGTTATGTATAAATCCATTTAAACAGTAAACAAACATTTCAACAGGTAATGATCCTTTATGACAACTACGCAAACACTGTTGCAAATTTTCCTTATTTAGTTCGTCTCCTTTATTCATTAATCGCATTTCTGAACCCGATACTAGTTCTAAAACATATTCAAATGCTGAACAACTAATTTCAAGATTCATATCTGTTGATAAGCTTGATTTTAGTAATAATAATGATATACATTTGACAACATTACTCATATCAATGGATTCTCTCATAATGTCAATTAAATACATTGTATTAAATTTTTTATTTTCTTCAAGTAGATTAAAAACACTTGAACAAATAATCTTTGAATCTTTCTGTTGTTTATCTATTAGACTTGCAAGCTCTTTTATAAAACTGCAATTGTTACCAAAATTAGATCGCAATATTATATGTACTTTGTTAACATCATTGTCATATGAAGGCAAAAGAAATGGAAATACAGCACAAAGTATTTTCAATTCATCAGTTTCAGTATATGATGAACACAAAAGTTTTAAAGAGTTAGGAACAGCAACTAACCAATCTTGATCTTTACAAGATTTATTTAAAATCGATATCAAAATATTTTGCAACTCTGGCCAATTTACAATAGTTAAGAGTGTACTAACTTTCAATCCTAAAACAGCCTTGCATATGCGAGGGTTTTCGTCATTCAGTCGTTCCAACATAGAATTTTTCAACAATTCATTTTTGGATATATCAATCTCATTTGATTTAGCTACAATATAATTCACAGCTGCTAATCGGATTCTTGGATGGTGACTATATAAGTTTTCAAACATGCTTGCACTGCTACCCATTCCATTGGAAGCGCTAGGCAGAAGCCCCAGAATATTTTTCAAAGAAGTTTTTGTCGTTTTACTACTTTTTTGCGAGCGCATTATGTTTTTCACAACCTCATCAAAAGAATCAGGATACTTTCTCTCAATTGATTTCAAGCATTCTCTATACCAGCTTTGAGATTCTACGTGTTTTGGAGGGTTTGCAGGTTCATCTGTCTCCATTTCTGAGTCACTGTCAAGGTTAATTATCTCTTCAGGTAATGAACTTCCTTTAAAATTGTCAATTATGCATCTGAAATATGCAAAACAATAATCATAAAAAAAATTCATTCATCAATACAAACTTATTTTATATCAAAGTATAGAAAAATAGTGATAGTCAAACAAATTATGATAATACAAAAACATCAATACTTAAAATAAATTTATTTTGAATTACTGACTATATATAATTATTACCTTATTAACGACTCTATATTTTCATTAGGTAGCTTAATTTCTGAAACCAAATTTGCAATAAAAGTCTTTGAACTATCTGTCAAGTCATCTGTATCGGCCTGAGCCTGCAGTAAGGCCTCCTTAAACAATGGTAAGAGTAAAGGCATTACATTATTACCATTTGCAACCAATTGCCCCAAAGCTATAGAGAACCATTTAGAATTTGCTAATTTAGATAGCATTTGTAAAGGAACCCCAGAAAATACATCTTTTTGTGAGTGATATATCAACATTAACAGTAGCACAGCTTCTGTACGTAAGCCAACATGTTGAACATGGGATACTTTTACCACAATTTGTTCCAACAGCTTCTCGGATAATTTAGTTTTTGTAACTAATTGAGCAATAACTAAATATCCTGATGCTACAAAGTCTTTAACTTCTGATGACAATGCGCGTAGCAACGAAGGTAAAATTGTTGTAGCCTGGGTTTCTGAGATATCCTTACTATATTCTAAGGCACCAACTAACGATGTAGAATAAAATGCAAACATAGTTGTCAATGTATTTGCCCTATTCTCAAGCTCCTTTATTCCATCGACAGTCATGTCACAAACAAATTTCAACATAACATTATCATTTGCACATCTATTAAGCAATGCTGTTTTTGATAGAGGTGCTCCAGCTTGTTGAACAGACATTAACCAATTCCAACGATCTAAGTTTTCTGATATATCTAACATTTGGAGACATCTTGCAAAATATCTAGTTTCATGGTATGGAAGAATTAACATGAATAATTCGTTTTTATTGAAATCGTGTATATAAAACCTGTTAATCAACCATTCCAAGCACTTGTGAGCTGCTGGTTGTAAAAAGTGAGGAGATAGTAGAAGCAAGAATCTTTTAATATTCTTATTAAGCTTTTTGTTGGTTTCATCACTCTGTACAGACCTCTCAAACTGTTTCGATGAAGGACTGAATAAAGTTGATTCGAATAATTCAAATTTGGGGTTTCTTAATTTTAATTCTTCTAAGCCACTAATTCCAATTTCATATATTGTTTCACGATCTTTAGTAGCGGCTTCCTTTGGATCGAAAAGAAAAGATGCTCTCTTTTTGTCTTGAGTTAATAATTTTGTTTGGGGAGTCGCCAAACGTTTTAATTGCGCTGCTAATGAAGTAGCCATGGTAATAATAATAATTCTAACCTCAAATTTTAACACTTAATAAAAACATGTAATTTATTAACGTTTATTATTAAGAACTGATGTTACGTACACAATATCTGAAACAACACTAATTAATTACTTTTTATATCTACATTAATATTTTAATCAATATTTACACTAAAAATTCACATTTTGTTACACACGTGTTTGTCACAGCGTGGAGTGTACAATGAGAAAAGGTTATAATTCATTTTTAGGTTATAAAAATAGTATTGCTGCTGAAGTAATATTACTTTCAGTTACATATCAAATACTTTTTTGTATAAAATATAAAATACCTATTTAAAATATACCTTGCTCAAGTTTCACTAAATTCTTATTTTGACTTTTATAATTTTAAATATTTGTTGTCAAGCAAAATAGAAATCTTAAAAATATAGCACTGACTTTCTCTAGCTCATTATATTATATATTGTGGATTAAAGAGTGATAGAACTATGATTTAGTACCACAAAAACTTTGATTTATTAAAAATATCTTATTATCAAACGAATAATCATGGAATCCCTAAAAGAAATATTACAATTTCTTGATATAAACGCAAGATTAGATTTAAAACAAGTTGCTCTAACCCATGTCTTAAGTAAGTATTCAAATGTAACTCTAAAATAATCATATTTAGGATATATATCATTTATTCGTATTTCCAGGTTTAACTGGATCTCCAGAAGGATTATCCTTAATAACATCATTAAAAGAACTTTTACTGGCCTTGTTGAAATTAACTAACGATCCATCAGATGTAATAGCAAAAGATGCGGCTTTATGCTTAATTAATATTTCAGCCTCTGAAAACGGCTCAGTTTGTTTAATGGAGACGATGAAACATGATTTAGTAGATCAAGGACTTAAAAGTATGTCTCTATGGTTCTAATATTGATAAAAGCTCATCTTAAAAACATCTTTTTCAGATATTTTGAATAATGATTCAAAACTTGCCGATCCTTTTTGTATGATATTAAATAATATTTCAAGAAAACCAGCTCAAGCACAAGAGATTATTGATTTAATGTGCAAATCGACAGATGATGAAAATGAATGTAGTGAAATATACTTTCACAATATTGAAAAATTAATGAAATGTTATACTGATGTTAATTATAACAAATTTGCAAAGTTACATTATTTAGGTATAGAGTGGTTTGTATAATAAATCATACTAGCACTTCATTGTAAAATACTAAATAAAAAGTTGTATTTTATTTTAGGAGCTTTGTTCAGTAATTTAACTCAATGTCCAATGGGCAGGGCGGTTTTTATACGAGAGGATAAATTTTTACTGGAATCCTTGTTGCCATTTATATCTTTTGAGGGTAGTTTTATAAGAAGAGGAGGCGCAATTGGTCTTCTTAAAAACCTATGCTTTGACAAATCCATACATAAGTAATTAAATTAAATAATACGCTATCAATATTTTGAAATTAATAAATAAAAAATCTAAAACTAAAATTAAATATATTTTTAGAATACTCTTGGGTCAAAGTAGTCATATAGATATATTACCATATATTTTGTTACCTTTAGCTGGTCCTGAAGAATTTGACGAAGAAGACAATGATAAACTACCAATACAATTACAAGTAAATACATTTTGTAAATATTTCATCTTTTAAATTCTGATATGATGTGATTTTTTAGTATCTTGGCCCAGACAAAAAGCGAGAGGAGGATCCTACTTTAAGGGTAATGCTTTTAGAATGTCTTGAACAGTTATGTTCCACAAGAGATATAAGGAATATTCTACGTGATCGAGGTACTTATGAAATATTAAGAGAATACCACAAATGGGAAACAAAACAAGTTTCATTAAAACTTGGTGACAAGGCCAGTTTGCTTGCTTGTGAGAATGTTGTCGACATTCTAATAAGGTATGATTGATAATCCTAATAATTTTGAATGTATATAATAAGCATTTGTTTCTGTCTTGCAGAACTGAGGAAGAAATTGGGACAGATGACCTAAAATCTCTAGAAATACCTTCAGATTTAGTAGAAAAATTCAATAATATGGATAAAGAGTTCCTAGAAGATAAATAATAAAATATGTATGTAAATAATCATATTGTTATAATTTAACAATATATATCATAATAATATAAATATGTACAAAATTTTATATATACATTAAATTTTTCATATTATTTTACTAAAAAATGTTTTTTTGTTTATAATAAATTTGTTCAAATATACTAATGCATATATTAGTATTCAGTTATAATTATTTATATGGTTAAGGAAAATAACCTAATGTATCTACTAAACTTACATTACTCTGCCATGATCTGGTCAGTTTTGTTGTACTAACTTGTATTAAATTTGGTTGTGGATCATAACTACTTCTTCTTTTTGATTTGTTTGGATTCACATGTTCTGGACCTGGTTTGAAATCTGCAAATAAAGCAGCGATTTCTTCACTTTTTTTAACATTTAAAGCATTTTCACTGCATCGTGTTAAGTTTTGTTCATTAATTTTTTTACAATAGCATTTTGTGTCAACATCTAGACAAGAATCTGAATCACAATCACAATCGTAACTTATATTTTTTCCTGAAGAACGGGTTCTAGATTTATGGCAATTTTTTATGCTTGCATTATAACCCAAACTGCAATAGCAGGGCTCGGCTGATGCACATGTGCAACTTTCTGAATCATAACTACATTCTGAACAACTAACGTAACCGCTAGAAGAATTTCGATTTTGATGCATATCCTCATTGCTGGTCTTCTTAAATAAATTTTCAATATCTGGTTTTGTATTACGTAATTTATATGCTCCAATATGTTGACCTCCATATTTATCATCAACAAAATACCTCAAATTAGGGCTGATCGTTTGTTTGATTTTCTTTTTCTTTTGTTTTCTCATAATGCTCTTAGATCTATTGAACATCTCGTCCTTGGTTAATGTTACCGCTAGTTTTAGAAGAAATTCTTTATAAATCGGTTTTAAATCGTTGAAGGACATGCCATCAGCATTTATTATTACGCCAAGAATTTCGTCCAGAGAATGAAGATTCTCTTGCAATCGAAATTCGGCAAATAGTTCGCTGAATCCTAGAGGTGATCCACCACTTCCGGTTACTAAATGAGGACGTCTTTGATTTAAACCCTGAAAGAAAAATAGTTAAATTTGAATTCGGTATAAGATTGAATACTGAAATTTATATTAACAACCTTATAACAAGCCATTCCTCCTGCGTTTAAAAAACTAGTGGACCTCGGTATAGCTACTTTGGTGAAAACATCTCCAGAATTGGTAAATTCTGAATTATTATTCCTTTGCTTATCTCGGCTGATTTGAGTACGAAGTTGCTGTGCTGAATAATCAATTGATGAATAATCCATGTCACAATTTCCATGTTCGTTTTCACGTTGGGCATTTGAAAACGATGACCGTTTTTTATTAACTGCATCAACTAAAGTAAGCAATATTAAACAAAATTTTGCTTATATAATAATTTAATTTTTATATCTCTCTTATATAACTAATATTATAATTATTTCTCTTGTGTAGGATTATAATATAATTTACCTGGAGTGCAATATTCCCCTGACGGTCTTAATGGTGCAGGACGCTTTTTTCTTGGTGGTCGGACAGGTTTGCTGCTCGAAGCAATTGGTTCTTTGTCCAGTTTTCTGTTCTTTTTGCTCATGCCATTCATTTTGAAAGACCTATTAAGTTTTCGTTCGATTCCCGCGAATGATTTAGGGCTTCTATTAATAACATCTTCAGAACGACGGGATTTGTTCGTCATATGCGATACAAGACTTCGGTATAAGGTTGCAGCGATCACTATTGAATCTTCAGACGTTCTGCATAAGAATCCATGACATTCCAGCCTAGAAAATTACACATATTGCAATATTGTAAAAGAGCAAGTACATCTAATTTTAATTATAACACACAATTTGTTCGAGTCGGTATTAGTTTTCATGACTACTACGAACATAGGTTCAGGCTTGGAACTAGATCTATTTCCGATGATAGGTCTAAAAAGTTTCCGTTTATTCAAATTATCAGGATCAGTTATTAAGGGAAGAAAAGCTGATGTGTTGTTAACAACGTCCATAACATATTTAACAGCTGACCACACAGTTATATTTGAAAATTGACTTATATGCATCTGAAAATGATATAAATTTGAGTTTATTCTTAATGATGTTGAAACATTTTTTGAAACTCTAACTTACCTCTTTTGTTCCGATTTCACGTACCCTTAAACCGGCTGGACAAATATCTAAAATACATTTCTTTGCTTGATCTGCACCAGCGTATAGTTTATGCAGAGGTTCCTGTAATCCTTCCAAATTTGTGATTTTATTTGGTAAGGCCACAACTCCCAAAAATCGAACAGAAAATTCATTATTTCCATTGCCGTTTAGTTCTCGATTTTTATCTTCGGAACTTATCACTACATCACTGAACATTCGTTCAATTTTGGCTTGTACGCAATTGGAAATTCTAGGTTCCTCCTAGAAATATTAATTTATATAAAATTAAATTATAACTAGTTGGTATTGGTATTTTGCCTTGAGGCAAGTTACATAAACTTCCCGATATGTGTAAATAATTGACTTAATCAATAATAAACAAATTAATTTTTAAGTGATTAAAAGTATTCCGAGTGGATTTATTACATATAATTGAAAACAAACGAACGTTAACTCGGAGTATTTTCTAAAAGCAAATTTTCACAAATCAATAATTTTTATAATTGAACCAGTTTCTATAGGACTTTAATGGTTTAGTATTTTTATTAATACCAATTACTCTATCGTTATACCAAGTAAATTGTCTAATTTTAATTTTAACAAACGTCAAAAAACCCATCTCATTTTCTCAAACTTTGATGAATTTTTAATATTAAATTACTTGTCGTAAGGCCGCAATATTTCAGTAAGTTCTATAAGACCTTGATATATATCGCCAAAAAAAGTTCCATAAAAATCGGCTTCAATTTTTTTTCAACAGTTAATTACAAGAAAACGGCTCGGTAGATTTTTACCTAAAACTAATCAGTATCATTCCCAACTAATATCTTTCGAACAGTTTTTGATTTTTTAAAATCGGCTCGGTAGTGTGAGGTTAAATGTGGACGAAAAGTTTAACACTTTTTTTCAAATTACAAAAAAACGGCAGATCGTCTCACAAAACTGACAAACGATAGTCCTCATTGAGATACATCAAATGGCTTTTAAATTTCTGAAATTGATTCAGGCGTTTTTGAGAAAATGTCGATCAAAGGTCAAATTTTGACAAATGCCAAAAGAACGATACTAATTTTTGCAAACTTTGAAGAATTTTCAAAATTAAACGGTTTGTCGTAGGGCCGTAATATTTTAGTATGATCTACGAGACTATGGTATCTACCGTCAAAAAAAAACATAAAAACCGTCGATTTTTTTTTTTTTTTAACTTTATTTTTTTTAAACTTTATTACTAGAAAACGGCCCGGCCGATCTTTACAAAAAACTAATCAGCACGATTACCAACCAATATCTATCGAATGGTTTTTGAATTTTCAAAATCGATTCAGAATTGCGGTTTAAAACGTGGACGAAAATTTTTTCACTTTTCTGCAATTTACAAAGAAACGGCCCGGCCGATCGTCGCACAAAACGCTAGTCCTCATCGAGATACATCAATCGGTTTTCAAATTTTTGAAATCGGTCCATCTGTTTTGGAGAAAACGTCGATTTACGGCAAAAAATCTGTTCACACACACACACACATACACGACACATACTTTTTCCAAATTTGGTCTCATTCGATTCAGAATAGCTTGAAACGTCGAGAAAACATAAAATTAGCGAGTCGGATTTTTTTATGAAAACAAACTTCTCCTTCGGGAAGTTAATATTATAAGTTTTGAACTATTTAAGGGTGCAAACGTGTAAGTTATCTGTGATCGTATGCAGCTAAGTTCCGTCGTGTTATGAATCGAATGAAGTTTGTCACTTCCGCGTCAGTGTGTTATTCGCTGTACTGAATGGTGAAATTTTGTGTCAAAATAATTGTTTGAAATATTAAAATGTATTAAACATAAACAAATATGATCATTGCAATTAAAATAAAAGCGCGTAATTCATTTGTGTTTTAAATGTGTAAGTAGTAAAGCATATTAGTAAATCTGAAAACTATTTGTTCATTACATGTCAAAGCGTCAGTGGTTGTCATAAAAATTTCCACAAAATGGTTGTAATTTCATGCTTACTTCTTCCTCTAAAGGATTGTTTAATAAATGTCTACCCATCCCGGATCTTGAATCATCAAACATAGAATCTATTTTTTGTTTGCAAGATTGTTTTGAATGTACAGAAACGGTTTCGCAAACATCTCCCAGTAATAACTTGAAACCTGATGCTGAACTAGATCTCCTGGAGCCCTCTGGCCTGATGTCCTCCGGCTTATTCAGGATCATGTTGAAAATCCGATCTCGGATACTGTAAATGATAGAAATTAAAAAAAAAATCGTTATTTATCTTTATAGCATTAGAGCTCTAATTATATAGGCCTAATAAAAGTTTGCAGTCAACTATAAGGTAAGAATGTACATATCATATTTTTTTAAACTAGAGAAATTGTTACCATTTATCCCGAGTTTAGTTATTGCATTAGTTATACAAAGTTAGATCTGATACAGATTATTAATTCAAAAACGAAACCTAAAAACTTTCCTGAAAGATTCATAAACCATCTAATTATACAAAATCTGTAATAGACGTTATTTAGAAAAGTAAAAGTATAGATTTAGTATCAAGAAACAAGTTCTTGTAAGACGCACATCTGACAAATATAATCGTAAAAACCTGTCAATGAATTTAAATAATGTCATCTAACAACCATAACATCTTTATTGCACTGGCTATTAATTCAGATTCGGAAAAAAATTAAACAAATCATTCATAGTCTCGACATTAAGATATTCTATTATGTTATTTATGACTTAAAATATCGGTAGCAATACTGGTACGCGTAAGTAAAAGTTCAACTTTCGAATGAAATTATTTATTAAATTTAATGAAATTGTATACGCATATAATTATATTGGGATAAATTATATTTATACTTCTATGTATTTAATATATTTAAATCAAAATTTTTAAGGACAAATTATTTTAGGATATGTTTGCTTCATGGCGTAACGGACTAACGCGTGGCCTAGTTTGAATCAGGACTTCGCTTTGGCAACCTGACATCGGACAGCAGCGATGTTCATTTTCACTTGAAATATGTTTCCAATTGAAAATAATCTCATTTCGGACACTGCGGTGTGAAATGGCAATGGAAAATCTCTCACACTATTCTTCTCTGAATCGAGTTGGAGTTTAACTCAGCTCACTGACTTAGGGTAGTACACTCATTATATTTTAGAATGTTCGTGTTATCATGTTTCATAAGACATGAACGAGAGTTATCTTACAAAATTCTAACAAAATTGTCAAAATTTCCTACGATACCCTACGAATATCTATCAATTATAAAGAAACGGCTCTGCCGATTAAATGGTATTTAAATTTTTGAAATCGTAGCGGTCGTTTCTGCAAATACGTCGAAAGGTCAAAAGGTCAAATATTGGTCAAATACATATACAAACCCATACACACTGATACTTTTTTTATATTTTTATTGTCAAACGATTCGCTATAATTTGAATTTTTGGACAAAAACATTCCCCTTCGGAAAGTTTTACATATTAAGAATATAACTGCTATTTTTTTTAATTTATTATTGTATTAAACGATTTTTTTTCTGGATCGAGTATTAATTTAAGATTTTATATTAATAATGCAAAAATTCCAGCATCTATTAAAAATAAAAGTATAAATGATTAGACTACAATTTTTTATTACCTTAATTTTTACTATATGACAAATAGCAAAAAAAACTTAATACTACAAGTAAAAGTGAAAATTACTAACAAAAGCAAATACAAAACTTGTCATACTTTCTCGAAGCAAATTCTTTCTGATCATAAACTATAAATCACCAGATTAAAATTAATTAGTTTTAAAAATATTTATTAGATATTAAAACTATAATATGCATTATAACATTTGCAAATTACTATTATATAAAAGTTTATATAATAATAAATTGCAAAAATATATCATTATTAATTAACTGCTTGATAAATGAAATAATTGAAGATTTTAAGTTAGTTACATTAATAATTAAAAAATATAGATTTATTAGTTACAAATGCATTTTTATTAGTAAATTCAAATCCAAATTTGAGAAAGGGTTCAACAATTATTATTTTTAATAATTAGTATTCATAGTATTAATAGTCAGTATTCTATTTGTTTTTTTTAACTTAACGAATATTTTTGCAATCTTAAAAATTTACTAATGTTATGAGAAAAAAGTATGTTTATAAATATTAAAATGTACATTTCTAATGTTCATTTTTATTTTATTTATATTAGTTTTATAGTTATTGTTATATTATTTGCAGTTTTCAAAATTTACTAATATTAATGATGAGAAGAAAGTATGTTCATAGAAGTTAAAATTTGCATTACAAAACATATAAAACTTAGTTTAATATAGTGATTAATATTAATATACATTTTATTTATATAAAATATTTTTGTAGATTTCTGTCTGATATGTGGATTGATAAGATGCTGATGTTAAACTCAAAGATGAAGGAAATAGATTTTGGTTAGATGAAATTACTTAATGGACTACCCAATGGACTAAATGGATTATTTAATACTTTTATTAATGACTAATTTATTTTTGATAACCAAGTTTCCGCTATGCATTTCCACATCCAAAAAAATACCAAGAGCAAGAAAGTTGAGGATCATTATATATTTCTCTACTTGGTTCTTATAGATCTGTTATATTTCCGCCATTCGTTATGTTATAGTTAAAAATTTAACAATTGTAACATTAGTTACGTGATTAAGACGAATGACAAGACAAGATTATTATATCAATCATTATGCAGGTAAATTACTGATGGATTAGAGAAAGTTATTGATTTTTGCACCTGCTGGATATTGAGGAATATAAGTAAGTCATGCAGAAAGGAAAATCATATGAAAATGCTGATGCTGCAACTATTAATACATTCATAACTATTGTACAGTTTAACGAGCAAAACGAATATTTTATATATTCTAATAATATAAATTATATATCTTGTTAACACTAACAAGCAAATGAAATAATTGTTTAAAGTTAGTTACATTAATGTAAGAATTAAAAATTCTATTCTTAACATCAAATAAAATAATATACTTTTGTAATTTTATGATAATGTATTCGGTAGCACTTTCAGAGCAGATTAATTATTCTATATAATTTTATGATATATAATTCCAAGAAATGTTATTAAAATTGATCTAGAAAGAATTCAATTAACTATGGAAATGCAATTGTAACTAAAATAATATTTTTGAATTATTGATTATTAATTCAAAGTTAATTCTTAATTAATAATTCAAAAATATTGTTTTAGTTACAGTTGCATTTTCATAGTTAATTGAATCCTTTCTAGATCAATTTTAATAACATTTCTTAGAATTGCATATCATAAAATTATATAGAATAATCAATCTGCTCTCAAAGTGCTATCGAATGCATTATCATAAAATTACAAAAGTAATCACTATAATTCCATTTCAAAATTTACTTGTAAAATTTAATTTAATTTTCATATAAATTATTTTATTTGATGTTAAAATTAGAATTCTATATAATTCTTAGGATTTAGTAGAGAACACTCATTGCCTCTTTATTCATTATATTTAAAATTTAGTTCACATTACATTTTTAACTTCCCGTAGGGTAAGTTATAGTAATCGCAAAAAAATCGAAAATGAAAATTTTTGCATTTCTCGACGTTTCAAAGGTTTCTGAATATTTTGGCATACCTTAGAAAAAATGGATGTATGTGTGTGTGTGTGTGTGTGTGTGTGTGTGTGTGTGTGTGTGTGTGTGTGCGCGTGTGTGTATGTATGTGCGGATACAAATTTTCGTCCACGATTTCGGGAACACCGATCAACCGATTTGATTAATTCAAAAAACATTCGATTCGTATTGATAAGGAGACGTGCTGATTAGTTTTTGGCAAAGTCAGGTCTAGCCGTTCCGAAGATACGGGGCAAAAAGTGCCGAAAACGGTAACTCAGTTTTTAAGAGAACGGAGCGTCCGATTTTAATAATTCAAAAAACGTTTTACTTGTATTGACAAGGTAAAATACCGATCAAATTTTCATAAAGGCAGGTCTAGCGGTTTCGGAGATCTAATGAAAAAAGTAAAAAAAAATGCCATTTGGCGGTCAAAAATGATCATTAGACATATGCACATCAAATTATCAGATATTTTATAGAGATTTTAACAATAAGTATAATTTTGGTTTACATTCCTATGGGTTCCGTACCAATGTTTACGCGTTAGACGTCGACGCGGAGCTTACGCGGGACGCGGAAAAAAAGTTTAGATCTTTCAAAATATGTCAAAATAAAGAAAACATTTTTTTTTCAAAAAAAAAAAATTAAAAAAAAAAATTAAAAAAATTTTTTTTTTCAAAAAAAAGTAATTTTTTGTCTAATTGTTTGTCAAAAATCTTATTTTTTTGAAGTAAATTTTTTTCAAAAATGCTAATCGTTTTTAAAAAAATAATTTTTGGTACGGGAAGTTCTAGCAATTTGCCTTAAGGCACGATGCCTTAATTGCCTTAAGACAGAATTCCACTTACAGCTAGTTTTTATTAAAATTTAACTAATTCAGTTAGGTATATGTATAATTTTTAGGTCTGATGAACTAATTTTAAAAAATCACAACTCACTGAAGACATCAATTACTATTACATATATTACATGTAGGAGTAATTTTTAATAACTTTTAACATAAAATGAGAAAAATTATGATGCAGTAATATAAGTGAATGGTAAGTTCTAAAGATTCATATTTTATTATATTAAGCATATATTATTCATGAATATCCATATTTGGCATTATCTATTATATGATTATTTATTAATGGTGTGCACATTTTTTAGATTTTAATCATAAATTATTTATTTTTCTTGTTTTCTGTATGCAACATCAATATCATCTTTCTTACTTGCATAATATCCTGATAAGACGAGTACTATTACTTTTAGTTAAATAACACTTCTTGAAGAACAAGTTAAAAGATAAAATAATTATATAATTACTGAAAAATAATACAAGAAGTTGTGAGAGTGTGAAAATTAATTACGTATCGAAAGAGCAACATGGTAGTAAAATTATTTTGTCAAAGAATGTTTTCATAATCTCTCATACCATGCACTTCTGTCTGTCTGTCTGAGATATGAAAATAATGTATATATATAAATACAAATTAAAAAAAATAGAAAAAAAAGAAAACTATGTTTAAGATGTAGATAACTTATTGCATACTACACACCAAAATTTGTCATTTATGTTAATATATTCTAC